CACAAATCCCATATTACATATCTTTAACTTCCATTTGCTTGTTTCATTGACCTCCTCACACCTCCCTTTTTGTATTCTAGTTTAATTAGTTATTTCAGTAAATTCTTTCCATCTTTCTCAATTTTTATTAAATAATTTATCTTGATAATTTAACCTATTAATTAACTCAACAAATCCTTTCCATCTTTTCCCCATATTCTGTTATTCAAATTACCTTAATTTATTTAACCTTATCTTACCGCAGAATACTTTAGAGCTTAAAACTTAATACTCAATTATACATAACTACTGATATCATTTCTACTAGAGTCATATAGTTTCATTCCAACATTTTCCCTAATATTCATTAATTTTAGGCTAATTCCCTAAATAAAAATTTTCTTTATAAATTTTCTTCCAATCTTCATCCAACATCTCTTCTTCCTGGACTCGGGTCGTGTCAGTCCTTACTGTCCATTCCATCTAGTCCATCAACCTGGTAGTCTTATGTCTGAGGCCCTTAAGTGTCTTCCATGTCCCTTCTGCAGATCTTCTTCTTCTTGTTTATACTTGCACTTTTCCTTGTCTTTTGTTGGTCTCTTTCTTAATTTCTTTCCTTTCTCATTGAGGAGTAGGTCTCTGGGGGGTTCCAACCCAAAATTATCTCCGTCTCCCTTCATCAAACCAGCCCATTCCCCACAGTCCCACTCCCCACAGTCATCGATGTAATCCAAAAAATATTTAAGAGCATATGTCAAAGTCTCTCCAAAGTTAAGAACCTCCTCAGCTCCAGACTCCCCCTGGCCCACTCCAACTTCAATCTTCAAAGACAGCGGCTTATGCTCCTGTAGGGCCTCGGGTCTCTCCATTTGTATTATTTGAGGTGCAACCGCAACCTCCTCCATTATCTTCTGCACTTGCCCAATCAATACAGGTTCCTGAGTTGGTCCCTGAATGGTTTCTGTATCAATATTCCCTGTTTATCCACAGTTATTGACCACAACAGTCATCAAATCCATTTTCTCATTCATCAAATCCATCTTCTCATGCATCTGTTCCAACAAGGCACTTGTCTTGCATAAAGCAAGCACCAAAACTTCCTCCCAGCTCATATTTAGTCAAGGTCAAAAGGACTGGTCCCACGATCTTAATCTCACAGCTGTAGAGTCCTCAAGTAGACTGCAGCAACAATTTAGCAAGCTCCCTCTAGAGGAGACAATTTCTATTTGTGTCCATTTTTTAAGGCAAGTCCAACAAAGGAAAATTACTTTCATTTTTCAGATATTTTGTTTCTTTAGAATGCAAAAGGCAACATTGGAATCAGTTTATTTCTCTTCTTTAGCTATCTGTCAAAGTATTCCATTCACAGTCAATGAACCTCTCCAACAGTTTCTGTCTCTGACACCCCGTTCCCAGGTTAGAGACGGTGGAAACTTATCTTTCTTCACTCCCTCTCCTGCAGGCGTTAAACAAAGTCCCCCCCCCCTTTCTCCTGCTTCCAAGGGGGTTTCAGTAGTTATACATGAAGGAAATTTAGACTTTTTTAACGACTTTCCAGGCTTTAGCTTACAAGGTTTTTGCTTCAGTCTATATACAAAAAGCGGAAGGCGGACTTCCTGTTTTGAACCTTCCCGCTTCGGTGCCAAATTAAGATATTTCTTGATCCAATTTTCCGTTTCTACTCACGGGTACTTGTTTTAAATCCAATTGTCCACACGAAAAAGTCAGCGCTCTCCGGCAATGGCTGTGCAGCTTCACTCCGTGAAAGTAGCAATCAGTTCGCAGCACCGTGCCGCTCACCCCACTTCACTCCGGAGCCCCAAAATGGGGTTCCCCGTGAGTAGGGGGGGCGCTCCTGGTGCCCTGCCGAACCCCATGTTCCCAGGCTTCCTCCGCCTGGGATTTCTAGCGGGTCCCCACCTTCACCGCGGCGGGAAGACCCAGTTTCCACGGAGCCAGTTCCTCCAGTCGGAGGAACTCCGCCATTTGCCGATGGCGCTAACCCGGAAGTCCCCCCAGCGCCCCTGAGACTTTAGGGCCGGTTCTCTCTCTCTCTCTCTCGCTCTGTGTGTGTGTGTGTGTTGACCTCACTGCGCTTATTGGGGGAGCGTGTTGGTTGCAATTCTTCTTGATTTGTCTCAGAGTGGTTACTATCGGGATTTCCTTTGTTTGTCTTAGCGCGTTGCTTTTAATTATCTTTAAGTGTGAGTGTGAGTGTTTCGGAAGCTGCCGAGCCAGGGAGGAGGGAGAGAAGCAGAGCCTGCTTGTTTTAAAGGAGCAAAGCGGAAGAGGAGAGGAGCCTCTCCTGCATTATTAGCAGCATCCTTCTCCACACACCCCACGCGTGTTCCTTCTCCCCTTAAACTTCGCTCCTGCATCATTAGCAGCATCCTTCTCTACACACCCCATGCATGTTCCTTCTCCCCTTAAACCCCTCTTCTGCATTATTAGCAGCATCCTTCTCCACACTCCCCATGCGTGCTCGTTGTCCCTTGAGTGCTTTTCCTTCCCTCCCCACTTAAAACGTGGTTACAAAGCACGGATCCACATGGATCCTCAGGATTTTTGCACTGGGTCACCCCAAATTCACCATCAGATCACATAGCATGTCCATGGCTACAGCCTGCACCAAAAAACACACACGCACACACTGTTTCATGGGGCCGCAATGGCGTAAAAACGTGGTTACAAAGCATGGATCCACATGGATCCTCAGGATTTTTGCATTGGACTACCCCAAACTCACCGTCAGATCACATGTCTGTGGCCACAGCATGAACCACAAAAATCATACACCCACTGTTTCATTTAGAATATTTTTTTCTTGTTTTCCTCCTCTAAAAACTAAGTGCGTGTTATGGTCTGGTGTGTGTTATGGAGCGAAAAATACGGTAACCAACGAGTCTTGTCATTAAAGACCAATAAAAGTACTAGAGCTGCGATTCCCAATGGATGGTCCAGGGACCCCAGGGGGTCTGCGCATGTCTCCCACCCAGGGGGTCCAGGGCACCATTCATATAACAAAACTACCATCGAGATCTCCATTTCAAAAGGAGAGGGTCCATGGTGGCTTTTGAAAAACTGGGGATCTGCAGTAATTGGGAACTACTGATTTAGAGCATATTTTTTGTGCGCTATAGTCCACTGTTTACACAAGGTATAATCATGAGGAGGGGTGTGTGAATCTGTCCGTTTAGTGGCCATGGGTGTAGCAACTGTGTTTGCATCTTGCATCTGCATGCTTTCAATGAGTTCATGGATCTTTTGCCTTTGGTCGAGAAGAAATGAGCCGTCTTCTTCTCTTTCAACTTGAATGCTAAGGTAGTACTGGACTTCTCCAAGTTCCTTGACCTCCACTTCTTTGCTAAGATGTATTACAATTTGCGCATAGTCTGTTTGCAGCCAAGCATACTAGGACTCAATTTCTTGACTTTAAGAAAGCTGACTTCATAAAACTTAGGGAAGTGCTGGGTGAGATCCCATGGACAGTAATACTAAAAGGAAAGGGAGTTCATGATGGCTGGGAGTTTGTTAAGAGGGAGATAGTAAAAGCACAACGTCAGGCAATACCAATGAGACGGAAACATGGAAGGTGCCTAAAGAAGCCAGGGTGGCTATCTAAAGAACTTTTAACTGAGTTAAGATTAAAAAGGATGTGTACAAAAAATGGAAAAGGGGGGAAACCACCAAAGAGGAATTCAAACAAATAGCCAGCACGTGTAGACACAAAGTCAGAAAAGCTAAAGCACAGAATGAACTCAGGCTTGCTAGAGAGGTTAAAAGCAACAAAAAAGGCTTTTATGGGTATGTCCGTAGCAAAAGGAAGAACAAAGAAACAGTGGGGTCACTCAGAGGAGAAGATGGTGAAATGCAAACAGGGGACACAGAAAGGGCTGAACTCTTCAATGCCTTCTTTGCCTCAGTCTTCTCCGATAAAGAAAACAATGCCCGACCTGAAGAATTTGAAGCAAATGATTCAGCAAAGGAAACACAGCCCAGAATAACTAAGGAGATAGTACAAGAATACTTGGCTAGTTTAGATGTATTCAAGTCTCCAGGGCCAGATGAACTGCATCCAAGAGTATTAAAAGAACTGGCAGATGTGATCTCAGAACCACTGGCAGTCATCTTTGAGAATTCCTGGAGAACAGGCGAAGTCCCGGCAGACTGGAGGAGGGCAAATGTTGTCCCTATTTTCAAAAAGGGGAAAAGAGAGGACCCAAATAATTACCGCCCAGTCAGTCTGACATCAATACCATGGAAGATTCTGGAGCAGATCATTAAGCAAACAGTCTGTGAGCACCTAGAAAGGAATGCTGTGATCACCAATAGTCAGCATGGATTTCTGAAAAATAAGTCATGTCAGACTAACCTGATCTCGTTTTTTGACAGAATTACAAGCCTGGTAGATGAAGGGAACGCAGTGGATGTAGCCTACCTTGATTTCAGCAAGGCATTTGACAAGGTGCCCCATGATATTCTTGTAAAGAAGCTGGTAAAATGCGGTCTTGACTATGCTACCACTCAGTGGATTTGTAACTGGCTGACTGACTGAACCCAAAGGGTGCTCATCAATGGTTCCTCTTCATCCTGGAGAAGAGTGACTAGTGGGGTGCCACAGGGTTCTGTCTTGGGCCCGGTCTTATTCAACATCTTTATCAACGACTTGGATGATGGACTCAAGGGCATCCTGATCAAATTTGCAGATGACACCATAATTGGAGTGGTGGCTAACTCCCCAGAGGACAGGATCACACTTCAAAACGACCTTGAGAGATTAGAGAACTGGGCCAAAACAAACAAGATGAATTTTAATAGGGAGAAATGTAAAGTATTGCACTTGGGCAAAAAAAATGAGAGGCACAAATACCAGATGGGTGACACCTGGCTTGTGAGCAGTACGTGTAAAAAGGATCTAGGAGTCTTGGTTGACCACAAATTTGACATGAGCCAACAGTGTGACGCGGCAGCTAAAAAAGCCAATGCAATTCTGGGCTGCATCAATAGGAATATAGCATCTAGATCAAGGGAAGTAATAGTGCCACTGTATTCTGCTCTGGTCAGACCTCACCTGGAGTACTGTGTCCAGTTCTGGGCACCACAGTTCAAGAAGGACACTGACAAACTGGAACGTGTCCAGAGGAGGGCAACCAAAATGGTCAAAGGCCTGGAAACGATGCCTTATGAGGAACGGCTAAGGGAGCTGGGCATGTTTAGCCTGGAGAAGAGGAGGTTAAGGGGTGATATGATAGCCATGTTCAAATATATAACAGGATGTCACATAGAGGAGGGAGAAAGGTTGTTTTCTGCTGCTCCAGAGAAGTGGACACGGAGCAATGGATCCAAACTACAAGAAAGAAGATTCCACCTCAACATTAGGAAGAACTTCCTGACAGTAAGAGCTGTTCGACCGTAGAATTTGCTGCCAAGGAGTGTGGTGGAGTCTCCTTCTTTGGAGGTCTTTAAGCAGAGGCTTGACAACCATATGTCAGGAGTGCTCTGATGGTGTTTCCTGCTTGGCAGGGGGTTGGACTCGATGGCCCTTGTGGTCTCTTCCAACTCTATGATTCTATGATACTCTTTTCTGTGTTCCTTTGGGCCTTGCAAACTGCCTGGACACATAATTGCTCTCTTTGCTTCTAACATTTCTTTCTGGAGACTCAGTTCTGCCTCTGCATTCCTGCCTCAAATGTGGTCAGGTTTCTCATAGTTAGACCTTCTTTATGATCCATTAATGAAACAAAAGCATAAAATTTTGGTCCTAAAGATGATAGCAGAAAAGAATTCATTTCCTCATCAAAAGGCCTAGAAGTCAATTCAATTTTCTGAATAATTGCTGTAAATTGGTTCATATGCTTTGTGAATTCATCTTTAGAATTCATCCTGAGTCTGGTTAACTCACGTATTAACATTCTGTAGGAGCTCTTCATGGTGTCTCCAAACACGCTCTATATCACTTAAAATTTGAGATGCACTATCCTCGGAATCTATCATTGAGAGGAGTTCATTGCGAAGCCCATTCAAAATGATGAATCTGGCTTTACTGTTCTTTTCATCCCAAGCTGTTATCTTGGCTAAATCACCCTCACTTGTGCCTGTAGGTTGAGGGCTTGTTACAGCATCCAGGACTCCTTTTGCACCTAGAACGCTATTAAGTGTTGCTTCCAGTGTACAAAATTGTTCATTTAAGCCCAGTCATGCCTTGGCCTAGGTCACTATCAAAAGCTACACTAGCCATCTCCAAAATCCAGAAATTCGAAAAATATTCAAAAATCACTGTCTTAGGTAATTGTGAACTCTGAGGGAAGGGAGGGGGTTGCTTAATCTCCACTGCACAATGGAACAAAGGACCATGTGCTTACCAGGAAATATGCTCAGGAAAATTCTTTTCGGCCTAGGATTACAATCCTTTGCAATCCTTCAAAATTACACAAAAATACACAATGCTGGGCCCATAACCCTTTGTGAAGATGTTTAGGGAGGCAGGATATATTATTTTATGATATCCTTCCTAACTTGCGTCAACAAGTTCTATAATTTAGCAGTGTTGTTAAACAATGCCCCTTTAAAATTACACAGCGGTTAGCTAGTTGCAGGCTCGTCCCTTTTTATATCCCTCTTAAAAGAATAGACACGATCATCTGATTAAAGTTAACATAAAGCTAGTTTACTTATAAAGCTACTTTACTTACTCATGCAGTTCACAATAAGATCTCTGAAAGTGTTACAAAACAACCTATAACAATGTGAACTATCCCATAAGGGAAATAGTCTCAAGTGGCTGCGATTCAGCAGTCACTTCTCCTAACTCTTAGGAACACAAAAAATGGAAAACAAAAAAGGCGGAACATGGAGGCCATGTGCTCATCTGTCCAAGAACAGACCACACCCACACTAAGTCACATGCAAAGGAAGTCTGTCCCAGCTCAGGAGGAACTAGCAAGTTTTCTCCTGAGTGATACATTGCATGTGCATTGTGGGAATGTTGTATTTGACTGCAATACATTTTTATACCCCACACGTTTAGGGTTCTCTCTCTCTCTTGCAAACTTAAATTCAGTTCTCCACATTCCAACAGCAATTTGCTTTTTTAAAAAAGAGGAAACCTTGTGAAAATTCATCCACATTTTAGTGCATGTTTCTCCTAATAAACACACTTTTTAATTCAATTTTGATATACACAGTTTTGCAAGCAATGTCCCTTGCATGTTATTTTCACTAATACAGTGCTACCTTGGTTCTTGAACTTAATCTGTTCCGGGAGTCCGTTTGACTCCCGAAACCATTCAAAAACCAAGGCGCAGCTTCTGACTGGCTGCAGGAGCTTCTTGCACTCAATTGGAAGCCTGCGCTCAATCAGATGTTTGGCTTCTGAAAAACATTTGCAAGCCAGAACACTTCTGGGTTTGCGGTGTTCCGGAGCCAATTTGTTCAGGAGCAAAGCTGTTTGAGTACCATGGTACCACTGTATTTGCATTTATGTGCATGATTTATCCAAATATGTGCATTTCTATACACATTGTTTGGATGGAGAATTGTGTTGCAACATTCAGAACATGGTGAATTTTGCAGAATGGCTGTTTCACATATTGCTTCAGGTTGTGTGAATTTAGTAAGTTTAAATGGAAACTGGATCAAATTTCTCCCTCTTCCCTAACATTGAGTTACAGGGCATATTGACACAGGGTGGCATTTTGCTAACAAGCTCTGCTAGCGCAACAGGACTTCTCCCTTGCCCTCCACCCCAAATTGAGTCTGGGAGTGTTGGGAGAACCCCTGAAACTGGGGAGGTGCAGATCATTCCAACAGGAATGCACAGGCTGATGGCATGATCTGCTTAGTGCAAAGAATTCTGCCTATACTTGCTGTGAGCGGCTGGCAGTATTATAAACAGGGAGGCCAGAAGAAAAAGTGGAAAAGAACAGATATGATAGTTGCATTATGAATAGGAGTCAATTCATTTTTTTAAAAGCCTATATGATGAACATTGACATTTTGTGTATGCATGTGTGTGAATGTGGATGTATGGATATAATATAATGTGTAACTCTGGTGATGACAACTGTAGTCCATGAAGGCTTATACCATAATAAAGTTTTTAGGCTTTAAGGTGTCACCAGAATATTGCTTTTACTACAAGTAGACTAGAACAAGGGCTCAGCCTCTACATTTAAGGGAAGGAATCAGAAAATCTGTGTCTGTGAGGGAGGTCATTCAGAAAGTTTGTATTTGTTTTGTTCAGTGCCTTTGCATTGAATTGCAGCTGTTGTCAATGCAAATTGTCCAATCTATCAAACATTTAGCCTATTCATAGGGATCAGAAATATGTTCCATTCATATGAAGGAAGTTCTGGCAGCGAGTCTGAAGGGGAGAATATATCATGTCTTCAAGCAGAGAAGGTCCTGGAGTGGGGGGTGGCCATTGCTACTCCTTGCCCTCCCCATTACCGGCTCGTTTCCAGATCAACAGGAACTGGCAAATGCTTGGGATTCCAGGACCCTTTTCTTGCTCCCAAGGTGACAGTTTGACCTCTTGGGTTGCTCTCCATGAATAATAGGATTTGCTCTTTAAAACAGTTCCGATTTTGTATGCATGGGAACAAAAAAAAGATAAAAATAAATGAAGTGAGTAATTTGCGTGTTCAAATCTGTGTAGCCTGGCATCCCCCTTTGATGTGTCAGGCTGCAATTGTACATTACCGTGGCAAAGAGAGGGTTAAGAGGGCTTCTTGGTTTCCTCTGAAAGGCGAGCTGTTCTGCTCTATTTAATGAATGGCCTCTGCTGCTTCAAATGTCAATGGCTCCTTCTTTAATGGATGCATCACCCATTCATTGAAAGTTCACGTCTGTGGCACTGACTGAGTGCTTGGGTGATGATGCCCGAGGAAGTGCGCATTTGGAAAGCTCTATGTTGAGACTGATCGCCCATGTGGATATTCTCCCCACCCCCCTAAGCCTCTGTGATCGAGATGCTGCAACTCCTACCTTGCTTCCTATTTGTGGTTCTTTTCTGCAAAAGTCACTTGGATTTCCCAGTTCTAGCCCACAATCCTGGCAAGGTCTTTATTCAGAACAGTGCCTGTGGTGGAATTCCTGCACCTGGGGTTCCTCCAGGGCTTTTGAGAAAGGGCCTTCCTTGGCGCTCCTGGGAAGGCAGGGGCTGCACTGGAAAAACACTTTTAAAGGAAAGTTGCTGAAGCCTGTTGAACATCAGTGCATCAGGCTGTTGAATTTCCTTCTATAACACTTTGGTTTAAATCAGGCTGCAGTAGTAGGACTGCAATAGGACTGTATGGGCCAGATTTAGGTTTGATGAGGCCCTAAGCTACTGAAGGCCCTTTATATATCCAGCTGTCAACAACAAATTGTCGCTTTTGTGTGTGTGTTTAATATATGCTATATGATATGGTAATTGGTAATAGGTATCTAAAGCCATTTGCGCATAACAAAATATGTATTTTATCAAAGTAATTGTATTTTAGAAATGTACATCTAGTTTTTTTTCCTTTGATTTTTTTTTGGGGGGGGCAAGAGAGTGGGGCCCTAAGCTACAGCTTGTTTAGTTTATATGTAAATCCGGCACAGGCCTCTGCCTCCGCAGTTGGTGCATGTGCTTCTGAATACCTGGAGAGGAGAGTGCCACTCATGCGCTCAGGCCCTGCTTATGGGCTTCCTATTGAGGCATCTGGTTGGCCACTGTGAGAGCAGGACGCTGGACTAGATGTCCCCTCTTCGTCCTGATGCAGAAGGTTCTTCTGAATGTTCTTCAGTAGATTGTTCCCAGGTGACTGGTTTACTGAGCATTGCACAACAATTAGACAACGATGGCTATTTCTTTGTGGGGAGGTTATACAATGTTTCATCCACCATCAAGTTCTCCCACACCTTCCAGTGCAGTTCCCCAGCCACTTCGACAGAGCTTGGTTTTGCAGGGAAGCAAGTTTGTTGTGCATGAACTCCAGTTGCATTGCCTGAATTTGCTGGTACAAAACCCACTTGAAAACAGCAATGGCCCAGAAGTGCCTGTGGGTAATCCATTTAAAAAGGTCAATCAGTTGGCAGATTTAAAATTAGTTTTTATGCAAGCTCTTATAAAAACTGTGGGTGGGGAATGCCGTTTTAAAAGAGGTATTACTACTTGCATAAGAGAAGGGCAGGAACCCATATATGCATCTTCTGTTTATTTACTATATTTATTTAAGCCTTCCCGATGATACTGGGGTCTTCCCAAATAAAATGATAAAATGCAATTAAAGCAAATTGGCTCCTTATTCTTGGGGTATTCTTGGGATACTGATATCCACGCAGTGCCTTTCCCACCCTCAAACCTTTCTCCCACGTCCTTGTAAATTAAGCAATGTGTGTCCTTATAGACAAAGACTTTGGATTATGGGGAGGGAAAACTGTGTGTGTGTGTGTGTGTGTGTGTGTGTGTGTGTGTGTCTGCAGCCATGTGCCTCAGAGAACTAGGAGAAAAGATTTTGGGACATTTGTTTCACTTGTCTGGTTTCTGTGCCTTTGAAACCAAAGATGTTATGTCCACATACGAGAGACTGTCAAGAGAATTTGTTCACCCACACCTTCCGTAGATGGTTGATGACAGTGGCAAAGCAAATTATACTTGATTCACCTGTCAAATCACCCATGGAAGATTCACCATGCAAGATTGATTCACCCATGCAAGAGAGAGCCTCTTCGCTTTTGCAGGAATGAATTCCCTAACAATATCAGTTGTGGTGGTGATTTTTTTTTTTTTAAATACTTTTCCATCTTGGATTGCTCTTCCATTTTGGAAGGAGTGTTTTCTAGTGGCAAAATTTTTAAAACAGTACAGGATGTCCAGTCCTAGGAAATACTTTCTACGAAAGGAAAAGGGGTAATATTCAGCTACGTCATACCCAGAGTAGGCCCACAGAAATAAGTGGATTTGCTCTGAGTATGGCTAACATTAGATATTGCACACTGGTTTTGATGGGTCAAAGCTTTTGCAGCAAGCCTTGATCAATCAGTTGATTCACTTATTTTTTTTCTCCAAAGACCTTTTGATCAATTAAAAGCATGTTCGATTAATCAAGTAGCTGATTCTTTCTTAAGACGCAAAATTTTATTTTTTAACACAAGTACTTGGGGTAAAACTGGAGATGATGGGAGAAGGCGTGTCTTTGCAGCCTTAAGCTCTGCAAACATGTTCTGAATTGTGTGTGTGTGTGTGCGCGCGCGCGCAAGCAAGTTTATTAGGATTCTGTGCATCTGCTACTGAGTTCTGTGGTTTTTCTACAGTTTTTTTTGTGTATAGGAACCTAAGGTGAACCTGGCTGCTGGATCAAGCGAGTGATATGTCTAGTCCAGTCTCCTGTCCTGTCCAGCAGCCAGCCAGATGCCCCTGTGGGAAGTTCAAAAGCAGGACCTGAGTGCAAGAGCAATTTGCCCTGCTTGCAATTCCCAGCAACTGGCACCCAGAGGCATGTTGCCTATGCCAGGGGAGGTGGAATGCAGCCACCGGGACCAGCAGCCACTGACAGCTGTTCTCTGTGTATCTGGATCCCCAGCTGGTGGCAACCACTACCTCTTGTGAGAACAAATTCTGCAGTTTAACTATGTGCTGAGTGGAGATGTCCCATCTTTGGAATGTGTTGAATGTATAAGAAAGAACAGAAAACAAATCCAGCTAACGAGATCCGAGGTGAAATGATGCAAGGAGCCGTGTTGTCTTTTGTTATGCTGTGGAACATGGAAGCATAGGATGCTCCCTGAGCTTGTCCAACTCAGTACTTTCTACACTGACTGTCAGCAGCTCTCCAGGGTTGCAGTCAGATGCCAGAAATTGAACCCGGGACCTTCTGCATGGAAGGCAGATGCTCTGCAACTGAGCTAGGGCCCTTCTTGTAAAAAGCAAACAGAGGAAAATAGAAAGCAGCAGCAGGCCATTGGTGCATCTAGATCAGTGGGGTGTTGATTTTGTTGGCTACTATGTTATGCCTTTTTGTAGTTTTATATTGTAAACTGCCCTGGGTTCCTTGGATGAAATTCAATAAATGAAACGAAACACACTTGCTGGCAGCTGCTCTCCAGGGCCTCAGGCAAGGGATATTCCTAGCCCTATCTGAAGATGGAACCTGAGACCAGCCTCCCCATACCTGGTGCCCTCCAAGTGTTGCTGGTCCCCACTACCCATCAGCCCCACCCAGGATGGCTAAGGGTCAGTCAGTGGAGATTGGAAATTGCCCTCTGCCAGTGGCAATAGTGCCACTGTATTCTGCTCTGGTCAGACCTCACCTGGAGTACTGTGTCCAGTTCTGGGCACCACAGTTCAAGAAGGACACTGACAAACTGGAACGTGTCCAGAGGAGGGCAACCAAAATGGTCAAAGGCCTGGAAACGATGCCTTATGAGGAATGGCTAAGGGAGATGGGCATGTTTAGCCTGGAGAAGAGGAGGTTAAGGGGTGATAGGATAGCCATGTTCAAATATATAAAAGGATGTCACATAGAGGAGGGAGAAAGGTTGTTTTCTGCTGCTCCAGAGAAGCGGACACGGAGCAATGGATCCAAACTACAAGAAAGAAGATTCCACCTCAACATTAGGAAGAACTTCCTGACAGTAAGAGCTGTTCGACAGTGGAATTTGCTGCCAAGGAGTGTGGTGGAGTCTCCTTCTTTGGAGGTCTTTAAGCAGAGGCTTGACAACCATATGTCAGGAGTGCTCTGATGGTGTTTCCTGCTTGGCAGGGGGTTGGACTCGATGGCCCTTGTGGTCTCTTCCAACTCTATGATTCTATGATTCGATGGTTCTATGAATATTTGGAGAGCAACAGCTTGAGGATGGCTTCCCTGAAATGGCCTCATCCTTCACAACAGTTCTGAGTTGGGTAAGGGTGAAAACAGCCAGCTCTTGAGACCCTTCCCCAAGGAACAAGACTGGAGTGGTGGAATTGGTTCTTGGCACAACCTTAGCTTTCAGAATCCAGGTTTCCTCTGTGCAAAGCTGTGGGATGGACAAATGAAAGATAAACATTTCATTTTCCAAAGAGAGAAGTGTGATTTGTTCAAACAAGAATGCAAATGGCTCTCAGATGCCCAACTAATCTGTGCCTTCATTAAAATTCATATGGACAGAAGCACCGTAAAAGAAATAGCTTCTCTGGGTGCGATTCTGAACTGAGTGTCAGCAAGGAAGCCATGCGCCTTGTGAGTCAGCCTTTGGATTTGAACAAATGCTTTTGAATTAAAAACTCATCCCCTCTCTCTTTCTGATTTGTTTGTTTTTAATTAAACTGTGACATTGTGCCTTTTTAAAATAAAAGCAGCCTGGAGAACTAAGCTGGAATCAAAATCACAAGCCCGTTTTTTGAAATGTGAATTCAGAGTGTAACGCAGCTGACCTTTGGAAAAACCTGTGGTGTCTGACCTATTAAGGCATATTTTAATTTTTATATATTAATTTTTCATAGCATACAGGTTGGTTGTCTTGCTGTGAGCAGTTGATATTCCAAGACATTTGAAGGCTAAAGCACCAGCACTATAGATAAGAGGATAATAATGTTAGCAGAGGAAAATTCTCCCCTCCCCCTCTCTCCCAAAATGTGCATACATAGAACTTTGTAACATACACAATTCTTCAAGCTGAATTAATACCATGCTCTTCCGCCCAAAAGGCTCCCAGAATAGCTTGCATGCAGACAATTAAAACAATACAGTCCCTGCCCCACAGGCTTACAATCTAAAAAAAGTGGGGAAACAAGGGGAAATGCACCAGGAGAGAAGAGGGGGAAATATCAACCTCAGGCACTAATTCTTAGACAGTTGTTCTTATACTGTACAGTAATGATTAGCTGGAACAGTTCAGGAACAGGAAATGCTTGATACACTTCAACAAAGCTGGCGGTGAGCCCTGCTTCCCATCTCTGCCCCAAATGGACAGGAACTGGGGAGAACAGAACCTCCTGGTCTTTCTGGCAGGACCCCGCCCCCCTGCCGCTATTTAATCAAGCCACCTACCTAGTTGCCTTCTTGCCTATAAAAAGGGAACAGGTGGATTCCATATAGAAGGCTGCAAGCGTGAAGAAAGTTGGGAGAATGGGGTGGGGGGCAGATAATAGACAGTTGCTAACTTTGGGTTAAACTGCATTAAGCTAAATTGTAAACGGCAGTGGTATCACCTCTTTTGCAATGCGCTGTTTATTAGTATGCTTGCAGTGTCGGAGGTTGGGGTCTGCTCCTTTGTTTTCATCCTTCTCCAAGCCCAATCCTTTTTGTACAATTGATGGCCCTTGGCTAAATAATAAAGTTGTGGCTTTCCAACCTGGATTCAGAATACGTATTAAGCACATGGACAAAAATTCTCTCCCGCCCTATTATTTTGCACATATCTGCAACAGGGAAGGCGCTATCCGAAGCCTTGCCTTCCCCACCTAATCTGCTCCTTCTTTGATTGGTAGGCATTTTCTGCAATGGAACCACCTTATTGGAAAGCACAGAAGTTTGGGGTTTTTTTATTTTAAAATAATATTTACCGGTATTAAGTTTTCCAATTTAACAATCCAATAAAGTTCACATTAAAGACATTCAGAATTATAAAATAATCAAGCAATCCAAATATTAAGTCAAATCATAAATCTTTGTTTGACTTCCCATGTTCTGAGGTCAGAGGATTGCAATCATCTCACATTTGCGCTGCTTTCTTAATTAGTCCAGGTGGTTCCCATAAATCAATCCGATGTTAATCCTTTGTTCGCTTTCACAGCCTCTGAGTTTGTCCAGCAAGCGAGTTATATTGACAGTATGTTTCTGTGTGGTTGTTTATTTTCTTCCATGTCTTTCACTTTCGCTTCTTCATGCCAATACGACACATCCCAAAATGGAGTAAATCTGGCTTTCTGCCAGTTGTTCCAGGCAGATGTCCAAACCTCTTCGTTTCATCTCATACCAGAACAGATAAGCCTGCACTTTGGCTAGAAGCCTCAATTCTCATATTCCGCTCTTAACAGTCCATCAGAATTAATTGAAAATTCATAAATCTTTTCCACCCAGTTAATAATTAGATCAAAATTGTATCAGTATTACAGTACAGTACAGTCTCGCTTGCGTACATAAACAATCGGTATTCAGACTTTCCAGTGGGATTTGCCAAGTAAAATAGCAAATACACAGTATATCAAAAAGAAACAAAGAAGGCTCCCCCCGCCCCTGCTTTCCGTTCCGAAATACCAGTTACATAATAAAGATAGTCTCTCTTCCACTCTAACCCTTTAGCTCCTCAGTGGCTGAATCAGCTGGCAGAGTAGTTTATTTCCCCTCACTCAGAGCATGCCCGTTAATTAAGTCCAAATTATCAACTTAAAAAATAGGAGTTCGTTTGCTCGTGGAGGCAACTTTGCAGAGCTGCCAAAGAGACACACGGTGTTTTCCACCCAAGCGCCCCCGGTGCCCTCATTCCTACCGGATTGGGGGCAGGTGTTGGGCAATCTGTGGGTGAAGCTGCCTCCCCCGGTCCTGGGGGGGTTGGGAGGATGATTACTCCCATCTCATCCTCAAAATATCCCATGTGAAACAGCTCAGATGTAATTAACAGCCTCCACCATGGCAAGCCAAACCAGAAGTCCCTAAAGTTTGGATTCTGATGGCCCTACAATTACGGCCCTTTAAGGAAGTCTTAAAATACCCTTTTGTTTTCCTTGAGTTGTTTTATTGCAGAGAGGGCAGAATGTGGCCCCCAGGCTTCTCCCTCTGGCCCTCAGAACTATTCCCTAGACCACACCCCTCATCAGCAATGCTTCATGCTTTCCTGATAATGCTTCTTGCATGCCTGGAGGGAGGATGGAACAGAGGGTGTGCAGAAACCAACTAACTGCACAAAAGTAACATTGACAGTCATTACTCTGTCCACTTTTGCCTCTGACCCAGCTGGCCACTGCCATGAGCCTTCCAGAAGGTTGCCCAGCACCATTCTCTGGACCACAGCAGCCCCAACAAAGCATCCTGCAAAATATTCCCCAGAGTTTTGATTGTAAAGAAACCAAATTATAAGTTCTCCCCAATTCATTTGCATTTGATATGCCATTCTCTTGTTTTGCTATTGACTCTGAATGTCAGTATTTCAAGGAAATAACAGAGATTTAGGCTCGTGCAATTTAAGTGGATTAAAGCACTCTGCTGCCCTGGTGCAATTTGTAACATGACAGGGAAATGTGCTAAGAAATGTGAGATGAACAATTGGTTAATGGGAAGACGTATAACCTTCATGAAAGCAAGAGAAGATGAATGCATCAGATCACAATTTTTTTTAAAGTCCTCATGAAAATTCATCAGTGTTCTAATGCAATTTTCTCCCAATATTTACATTTTTCTGTGCAATGTTGCTTGGCATACTCATTTTTCCAAGCTCCACCCCCCCCAGCATAATGAATGTTGTTATTTTAACAAACATATTCATTTTTATGCTCACTTTCTCCTAATAGATGCTTTTTTTTTACACATTATATGGTTGGAGAACTGCATCCTAAAATTTGGAGAAATGCAAAATTCCGATTCACATATTGTTTTGAAAAGTGCAAATATGGTAGGTTTCTATTAAAATCTGAACTGAATCCATCACCTATCCCTACGTGCTGCTTACTGTGAATGCATTTCCCACCCCTGACTTCCACCAAACCCTTGCAGAAAAAAGAGTCATTATTTCCCTTCCCCCTCCACCCACAATGCTAAAATAACTCCTGGCATTCAGCTCTTTCTGCTTGTTGCCACTAAGTGGCAGTCAAGGAATAATTATTACCAATGCTGAGAACTTCCCTGGATAGTGGGCTTCCTCATCGTGATGAACGGGCTGCAAAATGTTTCTACACCTGGATTTAATGTAAAAGTAAAAGTACTGGCAGTTATTCTCCAGGCTGAAGCCAGGTAATGTTAACATGCCAGGTCTAGAGTTCCAGAAGTTTTCTCTTGTTTCTAATGTTCTTGGATCAGATGGGATCTCAACTGCAGCAATTAAGCAGCCATTCCATCTTACAATAGCTAGTGGGAAAGAGATGAGAGTTAGGAGTAACTCAGAAAATAATTAAAATCAACAATAAACTAAAACCAGATGGAAACACATATCATTCCACACATCCGAACAACAATATAAGTCCCAGATTGCAAGAGTAGAACTGTCTTATCATTGACAGTTGTCATCTGCTCTGGGAGCTAGGGGTGGAGGAAGAGTGGTGCGGTGGGGGCAAACCGCCCTGGGTGTCACCACCGAGGGGGTGACAAAATGCCGGGCGTCACTCACCGCGGGGCCTGCAGCGTGCCCAAGCCACATATCTCTCCTGGGAGTGGCGCAGTGGCTTAGGCTCCCACAGGCTCCGCACTGCCCCAAACGGTTCACCCACCACCTCACCTCCCCTGTAGGGCGGCTGAGTGGGAGGAGGCAGGCAGACTCCTTGGAGGCCTTGTGGAGCATCCTACCCCGGCTGGCCCCACCCCTGGGCGCAGGGCACACGCGCTGCCCCAGGTGCCCGATTGGCTTGCTCTGCCGCTGCTGGGAGCCATTGTTTTGCTGGAAAAAATACTTCAGGATAAATAAATAAAAGCGGAGCAAAAGAAGTGTGTGTGTGTGTGTGTGTGTGTGTGTGTGTGTGTGTGTGTAAAAGCTAGGGCCAGCCCAAGATTTTCTGGTGCCTGAGGCAAGATGTGCCACAGACGCTTTGCTCCCACCACAGATCTTGATCGATCCACATCCTAGTGGGGCGGGA